TTGTATTAAAGCCAGGGAAGCAGATTTCATTATACTTGTAACACTAGAAAGTTTGGCATTTGTGGGAGAATGTATGAAGGACTTGTTTAGTGTGCAAACATCAAGGGAATAAGGAATACTGTTCATCTGCTTACCACCAGTAATTACTGTATAACACTGTGAGACTTCATCACAATAAAATTTTACCCACAATGGAATTACACTGCACCACAGTGCACAAGTCCTATTCTTATATCAATGATACATATGGTTTTCATACTAGGAAGCTTATCAACAAACTCACACGACTTTGTCAAACAGAAGCAAGATTCACAGACCATCAAAATTTCAACAGTCGATGTTTAAAAAATCATATTATTCCAAAATATTTACGTCTACGTACTCAAAGTACTTCAAGAAAAATAACACAAGTAGCTGAACATGTCAGTAGCTTACGCCAAAGAGAAGAACTACATCGAATTACTTTCAAACTCAATAATATACGAAATGAAATCGAAAAACTCAAACACAAACTCAAATGTATGGTCAATGATAAAGATTATGCAATTGTTGTTGAAACATCCAAAAAAGACAAAAAAAATCAGCATTAAGAAAATCGAAAACCACACAAATCAAGAAATCCAACAAACTAATGGAAGAAAAGAACACAATAAATGAAGCAATTGACGCCAAAGTTTCATCATCTATTGACAGAACAAAATGAGTGATCAATCTCTCATTAAGGCAACTAAGTTCTAGTGAGATAAAAGTACTTGGGAAAGTGTTATGCATGAATATGAGGACCTTGTAGACTATGAGAGAATCTAACTAATGCGCTGGCTAATCTGTCCTAATCGCACGTCGACAACAACAACAATACCGCCGGGCAAGCAAGGCAAAGAAAGAAGACTGGACGTTGATACGAGAACTTTTACTGTCTCTAACAGCAGTCGAAAATATTAAACAAAATCTCCGTATTTATACAGTTAGGAAAATCAATGTCACATTTTAAAATATTAACAAACCATGGGAATTCAGTAATTAAAATCAATAATCATGCAGATGCGGGAAATCAATGATCATGCAGGTGTGGGAAATAAATAATGAATATTGATGAGTCACCAGTGTATATATCACCTCCCCCTTTTGAAAAGAATCTTGCAAACAGTTTAGTATCTTTCTCCTTGGGGTCGATTTGAAAATGAACTGTTTGTGTTCGTTTACGCTGGGATCGTCGGCTGGGTTGCATCTCTTGTTTTGCTTCTTGCTTGACTGGTGGTATTTTGGAGGTTTCCAGTAGTAAATCCCATCTATCGGCCCAGCAAAATCCACATGTACGCGGGACCATGGTTTTGACGCGGGCCATGCTCTCGGTGGCTCCCGCGGCGGATCTTTGGCTGCCATGACAGACATCACTTTGAGTTTTTGAGCATAACCTCTCTTACTGGAGCTAACAGTTGCTACTTTGTTGCTACCAGACATCCAAGCACTTTTGGCGCAGCCATACTCACTATGACGATTTGAAGTTGGTGTTTCATTAATCACGTCATTCTTTCTAATGGGCTTAGGTCTAATATATCTGTTTCTTATTTCTGGCTTTATTGTTGAGGGCTCAGTACTTTCGATCTTATGGCATACACTGCTTAACAGAATTTCTGATAGGTGCAGCTTCTCGAACCAGTCTAAACCCAAGAGATCAAGGTTTGAATTATTGCTGTAGCATTTGCCGAAATGACTATCGCGAAAACCAACGCTGCATTTAATTTCTCCATTCAATCGAAGTCTTCCACCACATGCACTAAATGCTATCTGGTTTGTCTTCTCTATGGCAGGGCATCCCAACTTCTGCCATAATTTCTTTGATATTGTAGTAATATCGGATGCTGTGTCGATTTGTAGGCGTGCCGGCCGTGTATTAATCGTCAGATTGATATATTTGCGAGGTGCCGGAGTACTAATATGATATGCGGCAGCAACGCTCAAAGACTTGGGCTTGCGGCGCCGTCTGGGTCAACTGTGAGGTCTGGGTCGGTTGCTGCGTTTGCAGTAGCCATCTTTGTGACCAACAGTATGGCATCGACGGCATTTATGCTGTTTGAATGGGCACAAGTTTGCAAAATGCCAGGAGCCACAGTCACCAGCAGGCTGATGGTGGTTTATGCTGAGGATGACGCGGTGCGGTTGATGTCGACGGCACTGGATGCACCGCATGCACTTCTGCTGCATTTTGGCTGCCAGACTGCACCAAGGCGGTATCGTTATGAATGTTGATTAAACGCTGACATTCTTCACCGACGTCTTTCAAAGTCATCCGTGGATCTTGTTCCAGATGATTTAATAAACTAAACTTCAACGTAGCAGTTAGTAAATTAAAACCAGAGGGTGTCATTCCTAACATAGAAATAACATTAAGTTCAATAGATAACACGACAGCAGAAGAGGTCGAGCACAATGTGCATTAACCCTGAAAAACCAAAAGAAAACAAAATCAAACTTAACAACATTGGAAATACTAGCTTTGATTAGTCTAAAAAAAATAAAAACATCGTCATTACAAAAGCGGACAAAGGAACTCTACAGCAATTTTGGATAAATCTGACTACATCAAGAAAGTCACTGAAAACATTGAGATGAGTTCATATGAAGAAGTTAAGAGGCCTGTAGATACAATAATGAATAAGGTTTAGAAATCTTCAGCGGATTTAATACGCAGAATGGAGCAGTCACTGAGTGAGTCAAAATGGTTGAATTTAATGCCTAAAACTAATAATGCTAGTAGAATGTATGGTACTATTGAAATACATAAGCCAGGTTACCCCATACTACCAATAGTAGATTTCAGAAATACCCCTACTTATGAATTATCAAAACACTTAGCTCTAATATAATGCCCCATTAGAAATCATCCAAACTCTAGACTAACTAATTCATATGAGATAAAATATAAACTAAATGACATTCAACTGGAGAATAATGAAACAATGGTTAGTTTTGATATAACTTGTCTTTATACTAATATACCAATCAGTATGGACTTAGAAGCAGTTAAAAAAGAACTAACTGCAGATCCTGAACTCAAACATAGGACGAAGCTGCACATTAAGGAATTTATTTTAGGAATTCAGTTGTGCTTCACATCTACTATCTTTAAATTCCAAGGCAAAATATATAGACAAACAGAAGTTGTAGCAATAGGATCACCGACATCCCCAATCGCAGCGGATATATCTGTGGACAGCTAGGAAAATGGTGCTCTTAATATATTTAATCCTACTTCAAAAATACGATGGAGATATTTGGATGACACTTTTATATACAGTGTGAAAAACAGAACATACCTCTAGCTTCTTGACACCTGTTAAAGCACTAGTGAAGGGAGAAAAATTCAAATTTGAATCAAGAAATGAGCATTTAGCTATGTTAGATTGTAAAATAAAAGGAATAGAAGAAGGTAAACTGCACACTAGCGTTTATAAAGTCAACACATTCTGGTAATGGATGTTTAATCTTCAATTCACCTCATCTGTTATATTTCTGTGAAGGCAGGCTTAGTTAAGTGCTTAAGAAACCGAACAGTAGCACTAAGTAGCATAAAAAAGACCTAAATGATGAAATAAAACAGATACAAGAGGGGTTGATATCAAATAACTGTCCTGTAAAATTCATTAGGAATATCAAAAAAAGTTAAAAGCGAAATAAAAATAATTTTGAAACTACTGATGATAAGATAAATAAGAGAGAATATAAGGCGTCTCCAATTTTACCATATAAGTAGAGGACATCTGAGACCCTTGTAGAATTCTCACTAAAGCAGGAATTAGAGTACAGTTTAAACCTACAAACTCACTCAGGGACAAGCTCTGTAGGTTAAAGGACCCAGTTCACCCAAGTAGACAAAATAATATAATTTACAAAATACCCTGCAATGACTGTGACTGAGGTCAAATTCATACGTCAAACTAGTAGGTGGAGGATAGTGAGTTGTCAGAACATAAGAATTTATTTAAGGTAAGAATGGTTGACCCCGAAAAGATAAGTAATTTAGAAAAAAGCTCAGCGATTGGGCTGCATGCATTAATACACACCCATTCATTAGGGTGGGTGGGACACAGTCGGAATTCTAAGAAGTAATATAGTTAGGTGGAAAGACAGAGGTTGATTACTGAATACTGGTTCATCGAGTCCACACCCAACATGTGCAACAGAAATGACTCCACTCATACCGGGAATATGGAAAATACTACTACCAATCAAGTCAAGCGATGAAAAATAACGCAATTATATTAACTAAGTTAGAAAGTTCTGTAAGTGACTTGATATGATAATGAACAGTGATAAATTGTATTCGAAAAGTGGTCATCAGTACATATTACTGTATAACACGCTGTGAGACTTTATCAAAATAAATTTTACCCATGATCATATACTGTGATCGGAATGTATTCAGTCTGTTATGAAAGCTTGAGAGACTTATAAAACACTGAAATCCGATAGCATATGTCTTTCGCTTCATCGCCAGCGAATGTCTCCGGCAAGTATAAGGCCTCACACATAACCTGGTAGAGTCCACTAGTCATTAAACTTTTCGATAGAACTCCAGGCGACCACGCTCTTTAGCCAGCTATTGGTGGGCATGTGATGAATTTTTATCGCGGGAGAGTCTCCAACTAGGACGAAACAGCTTTTCAGTACTTTTTAATTCTTTCAGTCTTTAATCCAAGTTGAAACAGCAACAGTCAGCTTTGTAGTAACAATCTGATTGGTCAACCAATGGGAAATTTTTCCACACAGTTGAAACAACCAATCGGATGATTGCATTACGATGAATATCAATAATGCCTATCACTACTATCACTAGCATTATCAGTATTTCTTTTCATTAATCAGCGTATATTTCATAATTGCACTCTTACAAAATCGAGAATTTTGTTATCATTAAAAATCGTTTCTAATCATCAAATTGTGGTGGACAATTAATTATTGATTTATATTTCTCCGTCCCTTTGTCTATATGTAATGTTATGGATGAGTTAAATCATATCCTCATCGATTATCCAGCACCATTTTTCTTTACAGAAGGCGAAGTCACCTTTCTTGTTATCATTTTTGTCACTGTGATTGTTTTAGCTGTCCTCGGAAATACAGTTGTCTGCATCTTATTACGTTTTCGTTATTGCAGTACCTTCAAATGTCTACGAACACTGTTAGGACGTAGTAAGTACTCCACGTTCATCAGATCCTTCAACAGTAATCATAATAATAACAATAATAATCTGAATATTGTTCATAATGATAATCCTAATAATATTGATCCATGGGTAGATGAATGTCCAAGCAGTCAGCATGAATGTAGCTGTGGTAAAACCTGCATAGTACAGAATACACCTCGATATGTGGTCTTCAAGTCAACACAGAAATCCCCCCAGCAGCAGCTGCAGCAGCAACAGCAACAACACCAACAACAGCATCATCCGCCTGGCACTCGAAATTATGCTGGTTCTCTTACAGTGACAACTCATTTCCCTGCATTCCCTACATCGGATAAACGTGGAAGTCTGTTAACCAACTATGGTAAATTACAAGCGAATTATACCACGTCCTCTTCTTCTTCCAAAGGTGGAATGCGTAGCACCAGTATAACAAGTCTGTTCTTATTCAACCTGAGCCTCGCAGATATCCTAATGGCAGTGTTGTGTATCCCAGTGTATGTTTTCACAGAGATTATCTACTTGTCTTGGCCACTTGGTGAACCCTTATGTAAAATTGTCCCTTATGCACAAGGTGTCAGCGTATTTGTCAGTGCATTGACACATGTATTAATCTCATGGGATCGATTTATTCTTGTCTTCTTCCCACTACGCCCTAGAATGACACATCGTAAAGCTGTCTGCCTACTAGTCGGTGTCTGGATTTTAGCGTTAATCATCCCATTACCTGTACCAATTGTTAATCATATAATGGAGAGAGAGAATAAGACATTTTGTCAAGAAGACTGGAGTCTTCTACTGGCTACAATACAACAGACCACGGGGAATAATTTTACAGATTATGAACCAAATAAAAATGAAATATCTATCAAGTTATTTGAACAAATAGTCACTATAAAAGTGGATGTCGTCTACACAATACTCCTTATGATTCTACAGTATTTTTTACCACTAGGCGTTATATGCGGAACATACACAGCTATAGCACTTCGTGTGAATCGTTTAAAAACTCCAGGGGAACGTGATAGTGCTAGAGATCAAAAGTTGACTAGAGCTAAACGGAAGGTAAGTTTTTTTGACTACTACTACTATTGCTTTATTTTTTTAATGATCTCTTCAAATTATTGTGTTAAAGGAATGGAAGTATTCTGCTCCTATTGACGTGTGGTTGTGGAGAATTGGCGTTCACGTTGATCAGATGTACGTGTATTCACGTAGTTACTGCTGGTCACACCACAACGTGATATCAACCCATAAATTCTTCTTAGTTAGCTTCTTTCGGGTGAAGAAAATTGGTGATATTAAACCATTAATCCATCAAGTTTCTCCATGTTACTGCAATTCAATTCCCCTCGCACTTCTGTCCGCTATCGTTCCTTTGAACCCTAATTTGTTCTTCTTTTGTCTTTATTTTTTTTGCTGCATGGAGTGTGACGACTCAAAGCGCTGCACATCCACGCAAACGTATATGCTGGAATTTAGCTAGGCATTCAGTATCCCCAGTGGACTGTGATGTTCTGACTGAAAACTCGAATACAGCATCTAAAATGTATGGTTTGACTTCAGGGGTGGCAACACTGATCGGTTAAGTTCTAAATCCAATAAAAAACGCGTGTTCTGGATTCCACTGCTATCCATTGTCCACCAAAACGTCAGTATCCTAGTCTGCGGATATCACTGAAGCATCTGATATGTCATCAAATACTAAGAGACGCCAAACATATTGGCCCTTAAACACTCACCTCAGATTCGTACCCAGTGTTAACCTAATTCAGTCTGGGCAATAAAGTGGGGTTCACAGACTCATTCTTATGGAACTAAGTTCAAATGTAAGCTATTTGATTAATCCCGAAATAATATGCTAAAATCATTATGCTTAAACTATTTCTTGAATGGATAATACTGACTTTACTAAATGGCATTTGCTAGTGTTACTACACAAATGTCAGTTTACGAAAAGAATGTGGAGTTTAGGAAGGAATTATTCATCATAAATTTTATCTTGTTTACTAAATTCTTTAGTCAATATTTGAACTTTGTTCAATCTGTCCTTGAAAGAAAAAAGGATGGGGATAATAGTTCTGATTACTTAATTTTAGATATGATGGAGACGATTTGTAATTCAGGTGGATGATTTCGATGTAGTTGTGTTCTGTAAGCTGGATAGTTTCTTGCGAAGCTTTCATTGCCCTACTAAGCAACATCTTCAGCGCATACTTTGCTTTGTTGAAATGCGATTTTGGACTTGTTCACGAGTTTATCAGTCATCTCTTCTGGTGGTTGACCTTCACCGTGACTCTTTGGTTGTTCTCGTGTGTTTTCACACCAACTAGGGAGTACCATTATGGTGAGTTCCCCTTGGATGTACAGAGGAACATCGAGGTTTCAACAGTCTTCTTTAACTGACTCCAAGATTGACCAGAGCGATCGTCTCCTCTGCTCATGATCGCGGATCAACGCTTATCTCGTTGTTTCCCATTCGAGCTCCGGTGAAGCATATAGTGACACTCAGCAGTTTCGTCAGCGTGTGTCTAATCCATCTCACCTTCCTTCTACATAATTCATAAGCAGTAGGTCCTTGATTGGCTCATTGTTGCCAATATCATTATGGTGATGTCATCGTCAGTAGAGGACCTTGTAAGGGCAGCTGTTGATAAAAGTCCGAAATAGCTTTTTGAAAATGCTCTTTGTGATGCACTCTCTCTCCACATACGGTTAGAACACTGCCTTCAATATTATCTTTTTATAGGACCTGTAAGAATATGATACTTTGTTTCTTAGCGGTGTAAGTAATTCCTTTCCAGACTGCTCAGTATCACCGTATGTAAAAATGAGTCAAAATCAAACTGAGGCATAATTTAACAAACATCTGCAGTCAGTCTCATGATTTGCATTGATTTCTGTTAAACACATATAACCAGCCAAAATGAAATGCAGCTTCGTCCCATTTTGAGACACATCAATAGTGTCACACTATGATCTCAACTGAAACTTTCAGGTTCTGAAGCACATGCATATGTGAAACTAAAAAAAACTTCCTGATATCTTTAAATGTTATTGATTATGCAACTTCACTATTATTATCATTCTCAATGAAATGCAGCTCACTTGTTGCTGATATTCCTTCTGGATAGTCACTAGCTAAAAATTCCTGTTTTTCTTCTTGATGTCTTTCTATCTACTTATGGAGTATCTTTAATTGTGTGTTTAATAATCAAAGAGTATTCGTCTAGTGCTCTTTGAAAGACAGTGTTATTTCCACTTGTTTTTTCATTTGAACTGAACTTGAGGAAAGGTGTATACTGACCTTTATATGTAGTTCTTCCTCAAGTATCAGGGTTTATTTACCCAACGCTGACTAAATATCATTAAATACACCTCAGAGTGTAACATTCAGTCATCTCATTAGGTCAAAACAGTTAATGATCAGTCACTGAACTGTAATGCATCCCGCCGAAAAATGATTATCTGTATACCACAATGAATGTCGACTCTATATTCTGTGTTAGATAGATATAGCATTTTGTTATCTTAGATGTGGCGGTTTGTATTAGAAATCATCTTATGTATATCATAATAATTGAGAATTGACATACGTGTAAAACTTAGGCACTGTGATAGTAAGTGATTCCATATTAGTTTGTTTATTAGGTATATCACACAGTGAAACAGTATTATTTACTGGATGACACAGTTTCGAACAAAATTTACTTATTGTTGATAATCATATCAATTGTGATCACACGACTTTGACACTTGAGTTTTATAGTTTTCTTTGTTCTCTCCCATTTGTCGTCATAGGGGTAGTAGAATTTTCCAGATATCCGGCTGGATAGGTGTTGAGTCACTCCTACTACACGTGTTTCCAGTTAATTCGATAAACAAAGATTCTGTTATCAATCTCTCCCTCCACCCTGTGACATTAGATTTTAGAACTGTCATCCTATCCCATCCCATCCTGTTGTATGGTTGTGTGTAACTGCATATGGTGTATTGCTAGAGCTGAACGATTCTCTAGATGTCTTATCTTATTCGGGTCAACCAATCTAGATTTTGCTAGTTTCCTATGCTCGGCTTGTCTAACTGACTGCCCCTGTTCTACTAGTTTGACCTATATATTTGACCTGACAATCATTCCAGCAGGGTATTAGATAAACTAAATTGTTTTGTTTCATTGGCTCCACAGGATTGATCCTTTAACTGACAAAGCTTGTTTCTAATTGAGTTTGTGGGTTTGAATGCCGGCCACTTTTATTCCTGCCTTGTGAATAATTCTGCGTAAGGTTCCAAAGGTTCCTCCCTTGTATGAAATTACTACTGATGATTTAGATTCCTTAATGTTGGTCTTGTCTTGCGCATATTCGATATGCATGTCGTCATTAACATTATTTTTATTACCATCGTTATCACTACTATCATTATTTATCTTACTTTTACATTTCCCTACATATTTTCTGAGTAATGTGTCAAGGTAATTATTAAGTTTAAGGTCAAATTAGTAGAACAGGGGCAGTCAGTTAGACAAGCCGAGCATAGGAAACTAGCAAAATCTAGATTGGTTGACCCGAATAAGATAAGACATCTAGAGAATCGTTCAGCTCTAGCAATACACCATATGCAGTTACACACAACCATACAACAGGATGGGATGGGATAGGATGACAGTTCTAAAATCTAATGTCACAGGGTGGAGGGAGAGATTGATAACAGAATCTTTGTTTATCAAATCGACTGCAAATACATGTAACAGGAATGACTCAACACCTGTCCAGCTGGATATCTGGAAAATTCTACCACCCCTATGACGACAAATAGGAGAGAACAAAGAAAACATTAAAACCCAAGTTTCAAAGTGGTGTGATTATAATTGATGAAATGATTAAGAACAATGAATTTTGTTCGAAACTGTGTCATCCAGTAAATAATACTGTTTCACTCACTGTGTGTGATACATCTAATAAACAAACTAATATGCGAATTAACAACTTCATTTATTTTTATGATATATTTCTCAGCAAAAGACTACATACTACTGATTACTTGAGGTGAGTAGTTAGTTGTACGCCATATACAACAACTAGTAGTAGTGCTTACTAGCCAGCCAGTTTGAGGTGATCTAAACATCTGTAGACGACAGTTTCCTTCCTGTGGGACTGTGGGACATCATCCAAGGTGTATCCAGTTTGACTGAGCTTAAATTGCTGAATCAGTTCAAACCATCCCATTTCTGGTGAGCTACTTATGCAAACTGTGATGGAATCATCACCTGGAACTGTGTGAACTGTGAGTGTGATCGGTGTTTCCAAGCATCTATTACTTCAAACGTCAGATAAGAAAAAATATGGGACCACTTCTTGCAATCACTAATTCGGCAACCTCAAGGGTAATATATTGGTTTAGTTTATTTTCATATACTTTTGTTCGCCAAAAATGATAGAAAGTCCAATCAAGCAGGTTTCATCAGTCTTATCTATTTGTGTTTTTCTGACGTAAATATATGCATACAAAAGCGATGTCTCTAAGCAGTCAACTTATCAGCAGGTGAATCAACTGCAGGGGGTAGGATAAACATTGCAAAGATATATAATTTTTTGAAAATATTTTTTTGGCTGCATACCTTAAGCTACAAAATCGATAATCAGATTTTGTGATTGATGCATGTCTGAATAAGTCAATTTTCGCTTTCGACTGATTGACTGACGCTTTGACGGTATCTAAGGAATAACATGAGGCCACATGATGGATGGTGACTGCCATTGTAGTCAGAGGTTTATATATTTCGCCTTATTTGAACTAGTCAGCCGGATGTACCTGCAATCATCAGTGAGTGATGAAACTCAAGCCTAATAACCATTGTTTCAAACGTCGGAGGGTTATCCACCAAGCCACTTAGGCAGCAAGGAACACCTGTTGTGCTCAAAGACATCAGTCATTACTCATTTTTAATTCATCTTTGACTTTTCCACTGATTTGGGCGTTTTTTTCTTAGGAAGTGACCTTTGGACACTAGCCGGTTATTTCCGTCTTGTGAACTGATGGCGAATTCTAAAATGAATTAAAAACAA